TGGGGAATTCTGGGAGTTGAAGTCCACACATTTTAAAGTGGCCAAGTTTGAAAAACACTGAGTTAGATTATGAGGTCAACTATAAAAATAGGTCCATTTGGCTCATTCTATAACTGGGGTGCAAACACAGTCCTAGGCCAGACAAGATGCCATAACAGCCGTTTGGATTCTGAGATTTCAGCAGGCATTATTCACAGGCCAATCGATCTCAGTAACCTAGAATTTCCTTTAAGGATAAAGAGGCAGCTGGAATTCTGCCCCCCTTTATTTCATGTGAAATTCTTCTAAAATGTTGATATCCAGGAGAGCTTTAGCAATAACTCTCCTTTGTCGTTCTTTATCACCAGCCCCAGCCACTGAAGGTAGACTGCTACTGTTACTCGAAGCTCCATTTGGTGCTGATGAGAACAGCCGCTGATAGTTCCCTTTTTACCACCTGTTTCTTGTTTGCTAAGCAGGATCTGCTTTTAAACAGCCATTTAATCTCTCTGTGGTCCTTTTGTCATTTTTATGCCTGTTTCCTCCTTCTCCTTCCCCAAAACGCAGATCTACACCCGCTCTGTGATCGAACCTCTTCCGCCAGCCCCCACCAGAGATGTGACTACCTCTCCGATCCCCTCCCCTTCCGAAAACAGCACCACGCCCCCAGATACGCTGGCGAGAAATGCCGAAAAACAGAAGAAGAAGTCTAAAATGACAGATGAAGAAATTCTGGAAAAATTAAGTAAGTTCTCTGAAGTGGAACTTTGAGGGTCGGGGGAGAGAGAGAGAGAAAACATTGCACTGGGGGTGCAATCTTTTAATTGGGTTTGCAGACAGAAATATTTCTTGTCAAAGCTTATGTTCCTATGTGGTGTTATATCATCGCCTGGTGCTGAAGTGCAAACTTTAGCACCATCGGTGTTTGAAGGCTTTCGGAAAGTTCTCCCAGCGAGGTCGATGGTGTGATACGTGGTGCTTCGCTTCTCTAAATAGATGGAATGTGTTAGGTGGGACTGTCAAGGCTAGAAACTGCTTTGGGACTCAGAACCGTAGTACTAGCAAAGCAGGAATTCTGGCCATGATGGAAAATGGCAGATGGACAGAGCCTTGTGGGTTCATGGAAAAGACTCAGTTGCTCTGACATCCTCTTTTCCCCTAGGACCGAACCCCATACATCTGGGAAGCCCACATTTCGAAGACAAGGACAGCAATGAATAGGTCAGGAGCATTTTTAACCAGCAGAACAGTTTCTAGCAGAAGAAGATTGTGTGCTCTGTAGGCAGAAAGGGAACAGGAACAGGATAACCATAAATGCCACCACCATCAAAAGTGGGTTTTTTGGCAATCTGGGATTCACAGGGTGTGGAATAATGGTAAAGATATAGGATAAGAAGGCAAATTTGGCTTGAATATTAAGAAAACTTCCAAACAGTAAGAGCAGCGAGATAGAGGTACCAATGAAGTGGTGGGCTTCTCTACACTGAATGTGCTCAAGACTGATCAGTTGTCTGTTGTGGATCCCTTAATTTAGATTCCTACACTGAGCAGGATCTTAGACTTGATGGCTCCCTCCATCTTTAGGGTATCTTCAAGTCTGGACTACAGATTTGGGAGTGAATAATTAAATTTTGCCAACTTCTAGGCAACCAGTGGCTAAGGGCATTCTGATTCTAATTAAAAATAATACTCAAGTATAGTTCATGACTGACCAAAGATACACTCTTACTATCCTTACTTACGGTCTGATATATTCGCTTAGCATGAATTGAGGCCAAGTCTTGTCAGACTGATTTTTTAACATTTTTTGATCAGGCAATTTTCTAGTAGATTGTGGGAATGCCATGGATGTAATATATCTTGATGTCAGCAAAGCATTTGCCAATGATACTCTGATGAATAAGCATGTTATGTACAGTGGGGCAAAAAAGTATTTAGTCAGCCACCAATTGTGTAAGTTCTCCCACTTAAAAAGATGAGAGAGGCCTGTAATTTTCATCATGGTGGCTGACTAAATACTTTTTTGCCCCACTGTATAAACTCAGTGGCATGTCCAATCCACAGCTGACTTGAAAACTCTATTTGGGGAGTACTCATTAACAGCTCCCCATTAAATTTTCCTTCACCTTCTTATGATGAAAATTACAGGCCTCTCTCATCTTTTTAAGTGGGAGAACTTACACAATTGGTGGCTGACTAAATACTTTTTTGCCCCACTGTATAAACTCAGTGGCATGTCCAATCCACAGCTGACTTGAAAACTCTATTTGGGGAGTACTCATTAACAGCTCCCCATTAAATTTTCCTTCACCTTCTTATGATGAAAATTACAGGCCTCTCTCATCTTTTTAAGTGGGAGAACTTACACAATTGGTGGCTGACTAAATACTTTTTTGCCCCACTGTATAAACTCAGTGGCATGTCCAATCCACAGCTGACTTGAAAACTCTATTTGGGGAGTACTCATTAACAGCTCCCCATTAAATTTTCCTTCACCTTCTTATGATGAAAATTACAGGCCTCTCTCATCTTTTTAAGTGGGAGAACTTACACAATTGGTGGCTGACTAAATACTTTTTTGCCCCACTGTATAAACTCAGTGGCATGTCCAATCCACAGCTGACTTGAAAACTCTATTTGGGGAGTACTCATTAACAGCTCCCCATTAAATTTTCCTTCACCTTCTTATGATGAAAATTACAGGCCTCTCTCATCTTTTTAAGTGGGAGAACTTACACAATTGGTGGCTGACTAAATACTTTTTTGCCCCACTGTATAAACTCAGTGGCATGTCCAATCCACAGCTGACTTGAAAACTCTATTTGGGGAGTACTCATTAACAGCTCCCCATTAAATTTTCCTTCACCTTCTCATCCCAAATGTTAATGGAAAGGTTGGAGAGTACTGAGGCTAGGACTGAACCTCACTTGATGCCTCACTCCATTTTAATGTACTCTTCAACCTTTCCATTAATGTCTGGGATGAGGAGGTGAAGGAAATTCTTATGAAAATTTTAGACCAGTGTTTCTCAACCATGGCAACTTTAAGATGCGTGGACTTCAACTCCCAGAATTCCCCAGCCAGCCGGCTCTAATATTCTTCACATCTTTTGAGGGGCAAAGCCTTGAACAGGATTTTTTGTTCTTTTACATAAGAGATCTGTCTGGAAGTTTCCCATCCATACTTATGCGATATTATTATGCTGTGTTTAAAATGAAGAAAACTGGTAGGTGCATAATTTATTACTCGCCCAAGTGAGTTCCCATATTGATCAAATTTACACTAAAAGGAAAAACATCAAGGCTGAAAAGTTACTGAAGTCTTTGTCCCATTGTATAAACTTTGGATTTTTTTCTTCCTAGTTTTTCTCATAGTTAAATGTTTTTTTCTCAAAACTTTAGAAAACTAATTGCATTTCCATGGAACTGACTGCTACAAGTATCAGAAGGCTTAGACTGCAGAATTAAAATCTGATTTTAGTTTTTTGCTTGTTTTGAAAGGAGGTATCGTAAGCATTGGTGATCCCAAGAAGAAATATACAAGTTTTGAGAAGATTGGACAAGGGTAAGTATTTAATTGCGAACTTCTCCCTCTTCTGTATTTAAAGATTGAGATGGAATTGTTAGAAGTACTCTTCCTTGTTCAAGAAGATTATTTGTTGTAATTATTTTGGTTACTCATAACTCAAATCCACTTTGCATTGCTGTAAAATTGATGAGTGAATATTAGATTACAGTTGTGAACCTAGTTGTGGCTAGGTTCAGTCCTAGCCTCAGTACTCTTCAACCTTTTGTAAAAATAAGAGAATCTCTGGGTTGTTACCCAAGCTTGTTGGATGACTGGCACAGATCTGCGTATGTTTGCATATAAAGACAACTCTGAAGAAAAAAAATTGACTTAAAAAAGACCCAATGAATGCCTGTATAAGAAAGATATCTTCTTAAAAGAGGCCATCTGGCATTTATGTCACTTATATCTGGCATTTAGGCAATCATTTTATCGAACTAATTTGGGAAAATGGGAAAACAGATTGTGATTTATTTCCTTTTAGAATTAGGAATAAGGTATTTGAAACAAGGTATTCATATCTTACTCTTTCAAAGGACTGTTGGCAGTTATGCGCCGAGAAATTATTTCCGTGTGTGATCATTGCAATCACGGTGGATCTATCTCGTCCTTCTAACAGCTTGATAAGTGCTCAAAAGATCATGTGAACAACATGGTGGGCAGAAGTTGGTTTATTTTGGTAATGATTCAGATTAGAAAGAAGAACCCATTGCCTTCCATGCTTTATTGAAAAATAAAGACGTCTGACTCCAATAAATTAAACTTTAGTTTAATTATAGGTAGTCCTCGCTTAAAGACCATTCGTTTAGTGATCATTCAAAGTTACAATGGCGCTAAAGCTACTTACCATCAGTCCTCACACTTACGACCATCGCAGAGCCCCCGCAGTCATGTGATTGCGATCCAGGTGTCTGGCAATCAGCTTTCACTTACGATGGTTGCAGTGTCTCAGGGTCACGCGATTTCCATTTGCAACCTTCCCAGCCAGCTTCCAGCAAGCAAAATCAATGGGGAACTGTGTGATTTGCTTAAGGACCACACGATTCATTTAATCACTGCAGTGATTCGCTTAGTGAACGCTGCAAAAAAATCTTGTAAAACGGTCATGTGATGCCTCGCTTAATGACCGCCCTACTTAATGATGAATTTTCTGGTCCCTATTGTGGTTGTTAAGTGAGGACTACCTGTACATTGTTTTATTAATAGCATATTCATCCAGTAGGAAGATTCAAAGCAAAGATGCCCTGGAAGGTTATCTCTTGCTTGGGAAAGTTGTTTGCCTGGTGAATTTAACCCTTATGTAACCCCAAAAAGGACCTTTCTCTTGTTCCTTGCCTTTCCTGTTCAGTTATCACTTCCTTTTGCCTCCTCCAATTCAGTTGGCCTCCCTTTTCTGTTTCTTTTCCTTCCTCACCCTGTTATCCATTCCTCTTATTCCATCTCATTCTTTTTATTTCTTTGCTGTTTCTGTTGGGAGGAAGAGCACATAAGCCTTACAGAGATGTGTATTTCTGTGCAAGAGAGTAGTTTTTATCTCAGGGAGAGAGAATGATTGGTATATGTGAACGGGGTTCAATTAATTTTGTAAATAGGAATACTCGCTTTAGAGGCAATTAGTTTTATGAATTCGTATTCAATTTTTAAAAATCTGATTCCTGCTCTTTTTTTTTAATTTGACTTTTTGCAGGATATATAGAAAAGTGAATAATATGCACTTATAAAGTATGAGATATGTATCCATTGGGGGGGGGCATTCAGAATAAGGTTTAGCTGGAGTTGGTAACTCTTGGCTGATAAGGTGGGGAATCTGAGCACCGCCTATCATTTTAGTAATTTTCTGTTAATTATCAAATTTGGGTTTGTATTTTTTTCCCCCATCTACTGTTGGAGATGGGGGGTGGTGCCTTAAAAATAGTCACCTTCCTTTCAGCTACATACCTGTAGAATGGATTTCCACAACTAAATTTTACTAATTTGATAACTTTGTGAGAAAGCCACATTCCTGCACACTCTTGCATGCATAACTCAGTTGTGCTTTGAAATTTAATGTATCAATTACGGTGATTTTATGAGCAAGTCGCAGAATAAATAATGCATTTCAGGTACACATAGTACCAAAGAATAGGTAGCAGGTACTTTAACAAAAATTCTCTTTTTCCAAAATGTCCTTTTTTCCCTCCCCTTGGAGTGGGCTAGTGGTAAGGAGAACCAGAAACAAACTTTTTTCCTCACTTCCCCAAATGTGGGCATTTATAACCATGACATACTCCCTGTGCTTTTCCTGTAGAAATTTGCTGTGCTCCAGACTTGAGTGAAACTGTGGGAGTTTTCTTCAAAAGGTTTTTTATTTGTTCCAAGTTGCTGTTTCTGTGGGATTTGGGAGCTGATCTTTGTTATTTGCACCTAGTAGTGTTCATATCAGTGTCAAGGGTTTTCAGCTTGCCAAGGACCCATTTGCATGGGTGAGTAGACAGGTCATCCGAGACAAAGGCGTCCTGCAGGTGGGAATCCGTTTTTGTCACATAGCCAGTTTTATTGTCCGTTGTGGTCACAGAGCCGCACGATTCTCATAAATGCTGCAGATACCCGCAAATAAACTACAGGGGTTGGTGAGAAAGGAAAGTAATATGAGAAGAGTTGAAATGGAAGAAATGAACGATCACCTTAGTCTCAGCTGCAATGACCTCATTTGAATCCCTAGAAGTCCTTCTACAGACCGTTGAACAGATTCCCCCACCTTTAAAAAAAACCAGGATGAGAAAGGAGTTAATGGAATAAACTTAAGATAAGGGGTAAACTTGGGAAGTCAAAAAAAACCCAAAACCCTCTGGAAGAACAAGATCGGCAAGCCGCTTCCATATTGCCGCCTCCAAAAAAGCTGACGCTACGTAGTCATCAGCAGATGACTCAAGGGAGACTTTAGATTTTAATTCATTCAGTCACTGTACTTTTAAATTAAATTTAATGTAATATTTGTTTTGGACCTGCATCTCTTTACTTTTTGATGTTCGTGCTTTGTAGCATGCCAGTGAAAAATGGAAGAATGTGAAAAAATTGCTTTGAGACAGTAACAGAATAGGGTGCTTATAACTTTTGCAAATAAATTCCTGTATATACTCAGGAATAAGCCAAGAATTTTAGGTGCCAAAATACACCCCAAAAATTGGGTTCAGCTTTATCCATGGATAGGCTTATCCTTATGTTTATACAGTTATAATTTTATAAAGTAACTGTATATCCCGTATATATTTGTGGATCTGCAGATCTGCGGATAAGCTAACCCTTGAATGTTTAACTAAAATACCATGAAAAATGGATAATCTGTGGATTACCCACAGATGAGCCAATTTTGAAAATCAAAATATATGAACATTTTGAGGGTTGGCTTATCTGCGGGTGGTGCATTTCTCATGGTATTTTTGGTTAAATATTTGAGGGTTGGCTTATCCACGAATGGCTGATCCATGTTTATACATGGTACTTGAGGATTTTTTAAACAGATTGTCTTCTCCCTCTTGTGTTTCAGGGCTTCGGGTACAGTTTACACAGCGATGGATGTTGCTACGGCACAAGAGGTAAAGGTTCTGGCAGGAGTGAGGTGGGATACGGGCAGAGGGTTGTACCCCGAAAATCTTTCTGAATGGCAAAGAGGTTCTTTGGGGATTGTCTGGAATCTCCCATAGTGACCATCTTTAAAGATTCGACATAAACCTGTTGCATTATTTCTCCCATTCGAAAAAAGGTACTGATCCAAATAATTTGGCTGAGTCATCTTTCCCTCCCTCCCTCCCTCCCTCCCTGTTTTCATCTCTCCTTCCTTCCTTCCTTCCTTCCTTCCTTCCTTCCTTCCTTCCTTCCTTCCTTCCTTCCTTCCTTCCTTCCTTCCTTCCTTCC